CATGCCAGAAATTAGATGATTTCAAAAAAGGGGTGGGGGAGAGCCTCCCCTATGAAGTTGGCATTCACATAAATTGGTTACCCTGCCCTGGGCTTCACTATTTTCAAGGCTTCCTGCTAATTAGAGTAGGGGAGAAAATGGCATACAGTTCAGAGAACTGACTGCAGTTCTGATCAGTTCTTTTGTGCACTTCGTTATAACATTTTGCTCTTCCATAACACCACTGATGACCAGAAGATTTAAACGAGCTTCACAAAAACACTAAGTCTCACAGCATCTCTACGAGACACTTTAGCATTATCTCCATTTCACCATTTCCGTTTGTAAACTGAGGATCACAGAAGCAAAACGACTTGCCCAAAGTTACAAAGTGAGCCAGGAGCAGAGCTGGGGCTGGAACTGAGGCTTCCTGGTTCCAGATCCATTTTTCTAATTACTGGGCTATCTAACTATCTTGCTCCCCACCATGGTATTTGAGTACATGGACCTTACATGCCTTACAGATGGGTAGTTTGAGACATTCTCTCTTAATTATAACCCTATTCTCCACATTGGTGTCCATTCTGCTCTTCCCTTTGAAGAGGGCTGGATGGATTCTCTTTCAGCTCACATCCACATGTTTTTTAAATCATGTTCAAGTTGGAGATAATAAATATTAGTACAAGAGGAGGTGAATTTTTGGTATTTGACATTCCATGAGCAACTTCCAACTGAGACGGACGCTCCTGGTAAACATGCCAGTAGACTCCATTTCAATGATCTCTTGATTCCTATCTGACTCAATTAATCTCTAGTGGAAGATGAGTCCCAGGAGCTAGAAGCCCTAGAAACCAATATATCTGCTGCTCTGTTAAAAAACTTGTCTGGCTGGATATTCAGGTTATGTTTGTCATTGGCAATTTTATTGTGCCACCAAAGCTTTTGGCAACCACGTGGTCTCCAGCTGTTACCTTCCAACTGGTATCAGTTATACTATCAATTGGAATTGATAATACAGAAGGCTTGGCCAGCTATATAGGCATTTGAGAAGGTTACTTCTGGCTAGAACTAAGATTTTGGCTTTGAGAATATTGGTTTGATTTTCAGCCAAAGTAATGTGCAAGAAGCACAGAAGAACAGTAGACAGTGGATGAGAAGGGTCATCTAACTGATTAGGTTGGCCTATCACTGAACTAGAGTTAGGGGGGAGCTTTTGTAACAAGACTTGGAAATGGGCAAAACTCTGTGAGTTTTCATATTTAGTTGTATACCTTTTAGGTGAAGCTAAGGGAAGGGAAGCAGCTGCCAGCGAGAGAATTATAACATATGGATTAAACTGTGCAAAATGTGGTGACTTAGGCTGCATTACGTATCAAGCCTTGGGTTCCATAGACCCCAACATACAGCAAAACCCAGAGGGATACAAACCAAACTAAAAGGTTTGCCAAGCCCCTATGTACATTGGTACGGTCTGCACAACTCTAACCTGGCCACAATCTAGCCAGCATAATACTAGCTGTAATTAAACAACTTGTCAATTAGAAGATTTGAGGTACCTTGGGATTTGTGTTGGCTAAGGCAACTTTGATGCCTAACAAGACTTGGAAGGCTCTTAACTTCATGTAAGTCTATTAAAACCTTCCCCTTTTTAATGTACTCTTCTTCCAAACCCGTAAAACAGTCAGCTCCCAAAAGAACACATAGGAAGCATTGTTGTTGCTGAAATGAGCTGCGGAGCAAGATAATGATATATTCAGTCACAGCAAATATTGTTACGCTGAAGTAAATTACAATCAGTCACATGGATCACTGAATGTACCTAGGTATTTTAAGTAGCCTTTTATCTTGGAGTTTTCTTTTATAAAATGAGGCTTTCTTTTCAAAGAGATGTTATTCCAGATTAAAAACATTTACAGGGAGACCGCAGAAAGGCAGGCGATGCTCAAGCAACAGTCTCAAACAAGGTATGTGACTGTGAGATAGCATATTGTCTAAGGGGCATATTCTGTATGCCTTCAGCGACCTAGGAAATGTGTTATCACTCAGAAACACAAGCGGTGTAGCGTCTTTGCAATTATAAACCAGTGCAACAAAAAAAACAAAGGCAAGTACAAAACAAGTCTTTACATAGAAGTATAGTGTGACTTGCAAGGGAAAAAAGTTTCAAAACTGAAACTCTCTCAGCATTTGCCTTTAGGGGAGGAACATTTTGTTGCAGTACATTTGAGTTTCTGTCTATGTTTACAATTCAGGTATACCCATTAAGAATTGTTACATTTAATATATCTCTGTAATATATTTGTGTAAATCTATGTTTGCCATGTTTATTGTATATATCACCATGTAGTGATGCCAGGAGGAAGAAAAATCTAATGTGTCTTTAAAAATAAGTTTTTAGGTACACCATTGGATGGTGTACCTATAAGGCAAAGTTAAGGATGCTTGAGTGCCTGAACTGTGTGTTTCTTACCTTTGCATATGTTGAGATTTCTTTTAAATGTAATCTTAATTCTCAGTTTCCTTGGTGTTGTTATTGTTGATTTTGGGAAAATTAAAACATCCCTGTAATGTCTTTTACTCTTAAATTACTGAGATATACTTTCAACCTCAACTCCATCTTAATGTAGTTACGCAGGATTTTTTGTATTTTATACAGACACACAGACACACGCAACTCCAAAATCTGAAAACCAGGAAGTAGAACACTAACTTTTCAAAGGCCACTAGTGATTTTAGGTTCCTCAGTTTTTGGGTGCCCAACTGGATATACCTGAAAGGGTCCTGATTTTCAGAAAGTTCAGAGCATCTGCCCTGTGAAAATCAGGTTCCTTTCAGGTATCGGAAGTTTGGCATCCAAGATCTCTAGGTCAGTGATTAAAGCCGCACACCTACAAGTCGTCTTCTCACGCAGCCCCTCAGAAATACAGTCTGCCCATTCATAAGCATCAACAATAAAGCAGCCATACTCAACCACAAAGGCATATCCTGAAAACTTTAACTCTGAAAACTTTAACTCTGACCTTTGTTTACTCCTAGGATTCCTGGAGAATTAATCATTATTTACTATAACCTGTAGTTTACAATGTGGAATAATTTCCCTGTCAGAACCTTACTCATTTTATAATATCCATTTGCTTGTAATATTAGAAGAGTGAACCCTAAGATGTTGTTCTTACTATGAGGAACTATTTTCTGTCACTGAGGCTTCTTGGGTATATATCAGCAGCATGGTTTGTGGAGCTCTGGTATGTACATTGCTTTGTATAATTTACTATTATTTTGGCATCTCACAGGAGGACAGAGTCAAGGTTATCTGGCTTACGGTTGTGACTCTGGCTGAGGGATGCTGCAAGGGGCTCTGATGTAAGTCGGAGTGCTTTGACAAAGCAGCACTGAAACAAGCCAACATTTTCCAAAGCTCTTCGGGGCACTAAAGTTAACCAAACTCAGTTTGTGCCTCCTTCCACCCCCCACACACATATTGAATATTGCTCAGGTTTCTATCCACCCTCTGACCTGCCCACAGAAATCACTGCTTGAGTTAGCCCAGTCTTCCTCAGAGCAGACGCTAGTCAAGACGGTGCCTTTTAATCTTAGCAGCGGATAAAGAATGAGAGTTATTTAATTTTGTATGCTCATGGCCAGCTGCAGTTTCTGCTATTCAAGGAGCGACGTTTTTTAAAAGGATTCATTTCATTGTCCTACTCCTTTCATAAGTGTCTCCAGAGCTTATCAATAGCATTTGTTACAATATTAGCTTCAGTGCGGCATACTGAGTAGCTGACAGAGACTGTTTAGTTGCATATTTCTTTGCACAAGGCAGGGACTATGGAAGATAAATAATTAATACACATGGGTTCTCCTTTAAGCCATACGTCACTCTCTATCAAGTCAATGCAGTGTAACTTTGTGGGGTATGTGCAGGATTTCATTTTGATATTTTCAAAGATTTTTTTCCCCTGTAAAACAGAGGATATAGCAAAGACTGCAAACACAAATCACCGTCACCTTTCTTTACTGGCCAGATGAGGAGAGAAATGCCCAGCTTGTGTAAATCATCAATTATTTTTGCTGACTTTAATGAAGCTATGTTGATTTCCATCCGCTGAGGCTCTGACCACAGTTCCGCCTTCCCCTGAGCAATTCATCAGTTTTCTGTGGTGCTTATTACTGTCGTTCCTATTTTCACAGGCTTGAGATGCTTACTTTATTCCAGTTTTATCTTGTCACATCTTAAATGCAACCTCTCAGCCTTCTTTGGAATGGAAAATCAGCTATCATTCCCCCAGTTCTTCACTTCCAGTTGTAATGTATCACCTAGCTTTTATGCAGTGCTTTTCATCCATAAGTCCCCAAGCACTTTACAAATGGAGGCCGGTATCGTCATCCCCAATTCACTAATGGGAAAACTGAGGCACAGGGAGAGGACATGGCTTTCCCAAGGTCACTCACTAGGTCAGTGCAGAGCCAGGAATAGAACCCCCACCTCCTAAGTTCTAGTGTGGTGTTCAATGAATGAGGCCATCCTATCACATTTAGATTGTAAGGCTCAGATCCTCAAAGGTATTGAAATCAATGGGTGTTAGGCTACCATATACTTTTGAGCATCTGAGTTAAAGCTTTTGGGGGCAGGGACTGCCTCTTACTATGCGTTTGACAGTGTCTACAGTAATAACAATAATTAATTAATGCTCTCTGGCATCCTTCCAACCCACTGAGATAGTTCCTTTTATTCTCCTGAAATACGGATTGCTTGCAAATTTATTTAGAAGTCTAATTTGAGGTTTGATTTTGGTTCCACTTATACCACTGCAGCTGATGGAATGGATGCTGACCGAGGGGTGGGAAGAATTGTATGCTGAACAGCACCTGATCTTCCAATGCATGCGGCTCTTCATATCATGAAGCCACTGTCCTCTTATCATGTTGAACCTCTTTATGTGGTTTTGGAAACAAACGTCCTACTGGACCTTTTGGGGATCAAGTGCTCCATGTTTCGTTAAGAGCTCAGCCAGCCTTACCTTCATCGCTGTTGTCGTCCACAAGTATAATCTCTTTCAGGAGGTGGGCTGGCGTGTGATTAACAGCACTGTGCACGGACCTCAGGATCACTGACAACGCTTCATTCACAAAGATGAAAATAATGGAAATCTGGGGCAGATCTTTCGCATATTTCAGCTCTTTGCACCTGTAGCACAAAAAGGAAAGTGGGTTAACAGGATGCATGCTGGACCGCTGCAGTGTTAGAAGCTGAGCACACAAGCAAAATATTCTAAAGGGCAATTTATCAAGCTTTACAATTGTGTAAAGTTGCATATTCTTGCAGACCCCATGTACCAGCTATGCTCTACATTACAGGCATGGGCCCTTGTGCTTTGGGAACATAGAAATTTCCACACTTGCTCAGACCCGTGGTCCATCTAGTCTAGTCTCCTGTCTCCAAATATAGCTAGCTGGGGAAAATTTCCCCTTAAGGAACCTCAGGGAATATGGCTAACTAAGTGTTACAGTTAACTACAGTTGGGTAAACCGGGGATGAGAGAGACAGAGACAGAATTACAGAGACACAGACTTCTTTTTTTGTATATTTATTTTTCAAATGTTCTTTCAACATGGCAAAAGCCTCTGATTTTATAATTCAAAGTGAAGTCTCCATTCTGATTTAGTTTTAAGATGAATGGATGCTCAGAAATTTGCCTTTTTCTTAAGCTGCACTACTGTGTTTCTTTCTGTTTGGTTTTTGGGACTTGCCAGAAGGAAATGAATTTAGTGACCTATGGTCAAACAGCTTTAGCAAATGTTTGCAATGCTCTTTGCTGGCTTTCTTATGCATTTTCTCTTCCATTGGAACATTCTACTCGAATGTCAACTTGAACTGGTGTCTTTGCACTTCACATCTGTACGTGAGTTTTTATGCAGTTCCATAAGTACCTTGCAGTGTTTCAGCATTAATTGCTCAAAATGAGCTTTACTTTTATGGCTGGACATTTATTTAGCTACTTTTCTCTGTGCTGGAGCTAGGAGGTTTTCACTCTGCAGCCAACTTCTTTAGTGACAACCTGCACGTTTATGTTACATGAACAGCTACACTCTGAGTTTGTGAATAGGAGCATGATGAACAGGATTAAAGTAGTTAGAAGTGGACGAGATCTTTAAGATAATTAAATCTGTTCCCCGCAAGGGCAGGAGATAGCGTCTGCATGAGAGACAGCAGATATTAAATTAATGCTGCTTTTGATCCTATCCAATCTTAATACATTCATCACATAATGCAAACAGGTGACCATATACAAGAGCATTACAGATTACCAAGGAGATATATAATAAGTAGGGCTGTCGATTAATCGCAGTTAACTCATGTGATTAACTAAAAAATTAATCAGTTTACAAAAATTAATTGCTATTAATCGCAATTTTAATCGCACTGTTGAACAATAGAATACCAATTGAAATTTATTAACTATTTTTGGATTTTTTTCTACATTTTCAAATATATTGATTTCAATTACAACAGATAATAGAAAGTGTACAGTGCTCACTTTATATTATCTTTATTACAAATATTTTTACTCTAAAAATGATAAACAAAAGAAATAGTATTTTTCACTTCACCTCATAGAAGTACTGTAGTGCAATCTCTTTATCTTGAAAGTGCAATTTACAAATGTAGATTTTTTTTGTTACATATCTGCACTCAAAAACAACAGAATGTAAAACTTCAGTGCCTACAAGTCCAATCAGTCCTACTTCTCATTCAGCCAATCGTGAAGAGAAACAAGTTAGTTTACATTTATGGAATAATGCTGCCCACTTCTTATTTACATTGTAACCTGAAAGTGAGAACAGGTGTTCGCATAGCACTGTTGTAGCTGGCATCGCAAGGTATTTATGTGCCAGATGTGATAAAGATTCCTATGCCTCTTCATGCTTTGGCCACCATTCCAGAGGACATGCTGATGATGCTCATTAAAAAAATAATGCATTAATTACATTTGTGACTGAACTCCTTGGGAGAGAATTGTATGTCTCCTATTCTGTTTTACCCACATTCTGACATATATATTTCATGTTCTAGCAGTCTCGGATGATGACCCAGAGCATGTTCATTTTAGGAACACTTTCACAGCAGATTTGACAAAACGCAAATAAGGTACCAATGTGAGATTTCTAAAGATAGCTACAGCATTCGACCCAAGGTTTAAGAATCTGAAGTGCCTTCCAAAATCTGAGAGGGATGAGGTGAGGAGCATGCTTTCAGAAGTCTTAAAAGAACAACACTCCAATGCAGAAACTACAGAATCCGAACCACCAAAACAGAAAACCAACCTTCTGCTGGTGGCATCTGACTCAGATAATGAAAATGAACTTGCGTCGGACCTCACTGCTTTGGATCATTATCGAGCAGAACCCATCATCAGCATGGATGTATGTCCTCTGTAACGGTGGTTGAAGCATGAAGGGACATACAAATCTTTAGCGCATCTGGCACATAAATATCTTGCAACAGTGCCATGTGAACACCTGTTCTCACTTTCAAGTGACACTGTAAACAAGAAGTGGGAAGCATTATCTCCTGAAAATGTAAACAAACTTGTTTCTCTGAGCAACTGGCTGAACAAGAAGTAGGACTGAGTGGACTTGTAGACGGTAAAGTTTGACATTGTTTTACTTTTTAATGCAGTTTTTTGTACATAATTCTACATTGGTAAGTTCAACTTTCATGATAAAGGGATTGCAATACTGTACTTGTATGAGGTGAAATGAAAAATTTTATTTCTTTTGTTTTTTACAGTGCAAACATTTGTAATAAAAATAAATATAAAGTGAGCACAGTACACTTTGTACTCTGTGCTGTAACTGAAATCAATATATTTGAAAATGTAGAAAACATCCAAAAATATTTAAATAAATGGTATTCTATTATTTTTAATCGTGCGATTAATAGCGATTATTTTTTTAATTGCAATTAATTTTTTAATCGCTTGACCCTAATAATAGGGTCTCTCTCATGAACAAGAATACTTAAGCCTTCAGAGCCTCCCAATAGCTGGGAGCTCTGGACATTCAGGTCATTAATCCCCTCTCATCTGCCTTTCTATAACCCTCTAAATAAGGTTTATCTTCTTCCTTATGAACCCTGTTGGGAGGATTCTATCACCATAGGGCCAAGTCTGGGACATGAAGTTTGCCCTTGTGAACTATGCAGGACCACTTACTACTAGGGCTAAGTGAGCCCATTGGGATAAAATGAAACCTGACCTGGACCATTGTGCAAAACAACCCGAAGAGAACTAAACCACTGAGTTTCAGAAAAAGTTCAGTAACAAGTCTTCATTCCTGAGCCCCCTACTGGGAACCATAATGCTTCATTATTATGGGCCAGATTTTAAAAAGCACTCAGCATGATAGGAGCACACTGGGTGCTGAGCTCTCTCAAAAATCTGTCCTGAAGTGTCATAATGGGAACTGCTGGTATGTTAAGAGGGGATGAAGATCTAGCCAATCATTTCTATGTACAGAAACATTTTATACATATATATATATCCACTGAAAATACATCAAGTGATTATTTAACTCCTTTAGGTAATGGTTTCTCCTGCTTTCCTTTAATTAAATGGGGAAAGGAAAAGAAAAAGAAGAAAAAAAAGGGCATCATGCAAAGAGTCATTCTCAATATCATCTGCGACAGATTAAACGTAGAACACCCATTAATGTTAGCTGCAATATAATTAGTATTTATTTATCAAATGAATCCTGTGCAGATAAAACAAATAAATAATGTAACAATCTCTATGACATAGAGTTTAAAATTAATTGACTCTCATAGAATCATAGAATATCAGGATTGGCAGGGACCTCAGGAGGTCATCTAATCCAACCCCCTGCTCAAAGCAGGACCTAATCCCCAACTAAATCATCCCAGCCAGGGCTTTGTCAAGCCTGACTTTAAAAACCTCTAAGGAAGGAGATTCCACCACCACCTCCCTAGGTAACCCATTCTAGTGCTTCACCATCCTCCTAGTGAAAAAGTTTTTCCTAATATCCAATCTAAACCTCCCCCACTGCAACTTGAGACCATTACTCCTTGTTCTGTCATCTGCTACCACTGAGAACAGTCTAGATCCATCCTTTTCAGAACCCCCTTTCAGGTAGCTGAAAGCGGCTATCAAATCCCACCTCATTCTTCTCCTCTGCAGACTAAAAAAATCCCAGTTCCCTCAGCCGCTCCTCATAAGTCATGTGCTCCAGCCCCCTAATCATTTTTGTTGCCCTTCGCTGGACTCTTTCCAATTTTTCCACATCCTTGTAGTGTGGGGTCCAAAACTGGACACAGTACTCCAGATGAGGCTTCACCAATGCCAAAGAGTGGGGAATGATCACATCCCTCGATCTGCTCGCAATGCTCCTACTTATACAGCAATGCTCCTCATGATCAATTATTTTATTTTTAATTTTGCTAGATGTTTCTTAGGCCACAACAGGCATTGTATATGCTCTGAAATGGGAGAGAGGAACTCAGAAAGACTTCCACAGCAAGACAGTTGCCAGATGGCTTATATGTGAACCTTCTTTAGTAGAACAAGTACCTCATATGAAAATAAATCTACGTTTTTCCATTGTAACAACTGCCTTCACCCTAGCTGATGCAGCCTCTCCAAAGGGAACATAAAATCATCTAACAGAAACAGATGCTAAAACAGCTTTTTGGGAAGGATTTCTTTTGAAAATGCATCAGCAATGGGCTGAAACAAGAATTGATCCTCAAAATGTCAAACTGAACAAAAGCAATTTTCTGATTTGCTCCTGTGTCCTCCAAAACACAATAAACCGTGTAAATGGATAGAGACAGAGAGATATAGAGATAATGCTTTATTTTAATTTGCATACCTCTGCACTGTTCTTCCTCCAGGCAGGCTATTCTGGTGGTATAACCAGCTCAGTTTGTGACTACTCAGAGAAACATCCAAACCAAGTGATTTAAGGTTTGCCCACTGTTAATTTACATTTAAATTACATGCACCACTCCTGTCATATTCCGTCTGCCCCTGATTATGGAGGACAAATGGATAGAGACTCGGACAACAGCTACCAGGATCTTTAATGTGCATAATAGTGAAATCCTCATAAGGCAATCTGGCAGGAGGCAAGGTCTTTCCATAAATACAGTGCTCTCATGTGGCCATGGCT